AGCCTGACGCGGGGCTTGAACTCACGGACCGCGAGATCGTGACCTGGCTGAAGTCGGACGCTTAACTGACTGCGCCACCCAGGCGCCCCAAAAAGTGTAATTCTAAAGGAAAAGTAGGTTCAACGGATTATGTTAAAATTAAGAATTGCTCATCAAAAAACACCATGAGGAGAGTAAAAAGATAAGCTATAGACTAGGGATCTTTGCCATATAAACCGACAAGGGACTCACACCCCAAATATAGTGAGAAGTCCTGTAAAGCAAATTCGACTCTCTGCCTATTTTTACAAATAAAGTTTTATTGGCACACGGCCATGCCCCTTTGTTTTGGTATTCTCTGTGGATGCTTTCATGCTGCAAGGGCAGAGTCGAATAGTTGACATAGACCTTGTGGCTCACAAAACTGAAAATGTTTACTGTCTACCTGCCCCTTTTCAGAAAAAGTTTGCCAAGTCCTGCTCTAAATCATTAAGAAGAAGAGAACCCAACAGAAAAATACTCAGGGGATAGTTGTGTCACAAAAGCCCCTGGCCCACAGGACCGCATGGTCAATAAACTTGAATTTGCTCAGCCTCATTACTCATTGGGCAAGTACAAGTGAAATGGTTTAATGAGCCACTACTACATGCCCACCAGGACGGCCATAATGGAAGTTAAATACAGAGGATGTGGAGTCACTGGAATGTTCCCACTCTACTGAGGCGGGGAGAATTGGTGCAGCTGTTTTGGAAAACAGCTTGGCATCCTCTCGTGAAGCCGCTCGTGTGCCTTCCTTGTGGCTCAGCAGTTTGATCCCTATGTAGATAGCCCACAGGGATGTGCACACGCATTCTTCATAAGACACGTGCACCAAGAGTCACAGCAGCACCAACCTGGAAGCAACCCAGATACCTGTCACCATCACCCTTTGTGATTCCATGTATGGCAACTTCTAAACAGGCCAAGCGAAACCACAGGGTCATAGATCAGAATGCTGGTTACCCTTGCAGGGGGAAGTGTCCGGGAGAGGGCGCCTCGGAGGGCTCTGGGGGCGTTTAAAATGATAATAGACGTGTGCTCACTCTGTAAAAGTGAAAGGAGCCACACAGTTCTTTGGGCATTTTTTCCCGTATGGAGTTTATAATTAAATTTTTTTCAACATTTATTTATTTTTAAGAGAGAGACAGAGCACACGCGGGGGAGGGGCAGGGAGCAAGGGAGACACAGAATCGGAAGCAGGCTCCAGGCTCCGAGCTGTCAGCACAGAGCCCGACACAGGGCTCAAACTCGTGAACCACGAGATCATGACCTGAGCCGAAGTCAGACGCTTAACCAACTGAGTTGCCCAGGCGCCCCTGGACTTTATAATTTAATAAAAAGTTTATAGAGACACGTATGTATGCACGCACGTATAGGTATGTATAGATACAGAGAGGATGCCCACAAAGCAATGTGCTCTCCGTGCCCTCCTGACCCCACCTGCAGTCCCTTCTCTGCAGGTTGCCAGGCGGGAGTGTCCTTTATAACTTAGATCATGTTATTCCTCTGCTCAGGCTCTCCACGGCCGGCCCCCGTCTCACACTGACGGGAGGAGCCGATCTTCATGCCTGCCCACGGGACCCCGCAGGACCTGGCCCGCGTGGCCGCTCAGACCCCTTTCCCCACACTCGCCCTCGCCCACTCAGCTTCAGCCACCAGCCAGCTCGCTGCTTCTTGCAACATGCCTGGAGTCTCTTCTCCAGATACCCTCCTAGGTTCCTCCCTCACCTTCCCTAGGCCTTTGCTCCAAAGCCTCTTCAGTGAGGCCTCCCCTGATCACCTCTCCCTCCTCTGTCCCAGCTGAAATCCTGCCCCCCCCCACCCTCCCTAACCATCTTCTTGCTCTCTCCTCCTCCTCCTTCTTTTTACAAACCTCAAGTGTTTTATTTGAATTAAAAACATACACATTGCATTCATTAAACATTCTTTTCATATAGAGCCAAGGTCTCTTCTTTGAGCAGAAGTTCACTCTGAACATAAAAACAACTTACCTTTATCAGATCTTTCCAAAGCAGTCAACGTAATTTTCGGAGAGACAAGTCTCTTTCCACATGCATATGTCCTCACTTAATGCAATCAATACAGTAACAGGTGCACGTTGGGCAAATAGATTTGGGAGCATCACTCACCTGGTGGAGCAGAGGGGCCTGTGTGTACCACAGACTGGCCCTCCAGCCCTGAGAGTTCATTCTCCACTTTATTGGTTAAAATAAACGTTTGGCGCTCCTGACATAACACGTGTTCAACTTCCCTGCTTGGCATCTGTCTCTGTGCCCCCGGCCTCCTTGTATGGGAGGATGAGACTTTGTTTTATCCACTCCTGCAGCCCCAGCACCTGGAGGAGTGCCTGGCACCCAGCAGGTGTTCTCTGAGTGCTTGTTGAATGCATGGGTGAGTGTCTCCCCTTGGCCCCAACTTGGCATTGTCTCCATAGGAAGCACTACTCAGATGTTTGTTGAGTGACTGACTGAGTGGCACATTTTGCTGAGTGAGGGAATGAATGGTGGGTAGGTGGATGTGGGTGATTGGGTTGACTGCCTACTCCAGGCACCCTTCCTCTCTCGTCTGATTTCAGGAAGTTTCCCTTTGCTAGACTCTCTGAGAGCCCCTGCCCACTTTCTGGCCAAGAGGAATGGGTTTCTGCCGCTTCTGGTTAGTTTCTCATCAATGTCTCCTATTAGCAGAAAAGTAGCCAGCTCTGTGAGGCCGACAGAGCTAGCCTGTTTTCCAGCTGGGGAAACTGTGGCTGGGGGTGGAGAAGTAAGTGACTTGTTCAAGTCACCCAGCCACCAGCTGAAAACCCATGCTCCTGGGCTCAGTGCAGTGCCTCCCATCTCTGGACGCCCTTCTGTATCTCTGCTCTGAGACATGGGCGTTATTGACTTCCTGTTGTCTTTCAGGGTCACCGGGGGCAAGAAATCCACCAAGAGGACCAAGTCCATCAATGGCTCCCTCTACATCTTCCGGGGTCGAATCAACACTGAAGTCATGGAGGTGGAGAATGTGGAAGACGGGACAGGTAGAGACCCCAACTCCAAGGCCCGCCTGAGCCCCAGACCCACCTGCTCTGTGGCACAATCTCTGTTTCAGTTTTTTCCTTTTATCTGAAAGGTAACCTACCTAAGAACAGTGCCTAAAACACAAGCACATCAAGTGAACACTTGGGTAGTCACTGTTCAAGCTAAAAAGCAAAACACTGCCTAATGAAAATTTGTTTCAAAACTTGACTTGAATGGTTATGTCATTATATGCACATTGAATGGCTTCAAAGATATACATGTAGTTATATACAGTTTTATATATCTGTTTAAAGGGTCGTAAAATTATATATTATTTGCTCTGTGCTTTGTGTTTCTGCATGTAGCTGTCTGTACGTTGTTGGTTTCCACTGCTGTGTAACATTCTCTTGCATGGGTAGTCCGTAGCTCATTCATTCCTTTGGTGATAGATATTTGGGCCATTTCTGCCGTTTGCTATTACGAACATTGATGCTGTGAGCAGTCTTGTGTAAACCTCTTTTTGTGTGTGTGTCTTTGAACTTGGCTAGGGCAGGAGTTCTTAATTGGTTTTGAGACACTGACTCCTTTGTGGTGTCACAAAACCTGTGGACCCCTCCTCAGATTTAGGGCGTGGCCGGCTTCAACTCCCCCGGAAAACGGGGACCTGCCTGTTTTCAAAGAGGTTGGCCACTTCCCATGCCAGCCAGTCAAGGGCACCGTCGGGCTTGCACTAGGTTTTAAGTAGCCCAAGTGCCCCAGTGAGATGGGCAGGGAGGCTGGGACACATTGCCAGGCTTTGGGGCTCTCGCATTTGTACACAGACTGTAATTGAGGGGCAGGAGGAGTCGTTGTTGGCAGACGAGAGGCAGTGAGCATTTGAAGCGTTGTGAGTTCACCTCTTAGATCCTGATCCTGTCGATGCCCCTGCCACCCAGTCTTTCCGGAGCGGAGATGCGCTGGTCCCGTGACCTTACTTGCAAGCGTGTGGTGGGGAGTGTTCCGAGTTGTATGACTGAGTGTGCGCTGACCCACCTTTGCCTTCTGCCCCTGCCAGCGGATTACCACAGCAATGGCTACACTGTCACCAACGGCTGGAAGATCCACAACACGGCCAAGAACAAGTGGTTTGTCTGCATGGCCAAGACGGCGGAGGAGAAGCAGAAGTGGCTGGATGCCATTATCCGCGAGAGGGAGCAGCGTGAGAGTGAGTGGGCCCTCTCATGTCCCCCCGAAGAGTGGTAGTTTCGGGGGACTTTCCTGGGATCCTGGGGTGTGTGTATGGCTTCCCCTAGGCTGGTCGCTTCTGTGGGGTGAGGACTGTGTTCTGGGAGCAGGTCACTGAGGGGCCAGGGAGCTCTAGGACTGTGTTATAACTCAGTGGTATCTTGGATCACCTGAGGTCGTTTGTTAGAGCCCATTCAACAGATGGTGAAACTGAGGCCCAGTGGAAGGGACCAACATCTTGTCGATACGGTTGGTTGTTCTGGGATTGTTGGCACCCTTCACCCTTGAGGGCTGGTAGCCCCAAGATGCTCCCTACATGCCTCTGTCCCTGCCCTGCCCCATGGTTCTGTTATCTTCAACTGGGGTTCTTTGTGCTGGAGACTCAGAGTCCACATCTGGGATGGGGGTCCTTGGGGGCTGCTCATTAATTGTGGTCACAGATTTCTCTGGGCCCAGGCTCCCTGGAGGAAGCTTGCGTAAACTTAATACAGGGCTGGGTGTGGTAATTGGGTGGGGTTGGGACCAGGCACTGGATGGTTGTGCAGAGGTCACTGGGCTGGGAAAGGGGAGATGTGCTGTGTTACTCAGTGATCTCTTCTGATAAGAGGGGATAAAAGCGGGTTGTAATGCCACTAAATGAGGTTTGGATTTGACCATATTTCCTATCCCCCTCCCACCTTTGCAAAGGAGGAAACTGAGGCATAGTTTTCTCCATATCTGTCACCTTCCCCTTGGATGTGTCATAGACATCTCACGCTTGCCAAGTCCTAATTTCCACCCCGCCTTCTGCCCCAAACCTGTAGCTTCCCCATCTCAGTACATGGTTCCTCCATTCGCCTGGGGGCTCAGATTCAAACTCTTGGTGCCATCCCTGATTTCCGCCCACTCCCCAAATTCAATAGATGAAGTTTCTTTCCCACGTCGCCTTAGATTTGCCAAATCCGCCTGGGTCTCTCTGTTCTGTGCTTCCACCCTCTTATAAGTCACCATCCTCTCTCAGGAATTAGGCCCAGCATGGCTAGATCTGTTGTTTTGTTTTGTTTTTTCCTAGAGAAGCTAGATTTTAAGTTTTCAGGTGACATTTCTTGATTTTAAATATTGCGTCAAAATTTATTCAAATAGCATTAAGCCAGATAAACTGTTGAACCTGGCTTCTGGTTGAGAAAGCTTGTGAGTTCTGAAACTGATCAGAGATGGGTGTGTGCTCAGGACCGGGGGTGGGGTTGAGGGGTGTGGCCTGGCCTGTGTGGCCGATCAGTGTCTGTGGTTAGAATGGAGAGCTGTGGTCAGTGCTGGGTATTTGCGATTATGTGTAGGGTGTGGCCTCGGTGGGCCTCAGTCATTAGAATCAGGGCGTTGTCCCAACCTTGACCTCAGGGGTGGGGTATTCTGTGATCCTGAGCACAGATCTGGAGACGAACTTCCTGGGTCTAAATCCTGGTTGCACCACTATCTAGTTGGGTAACCTGGGACAGACAGGGTAATTTCTCTGGGCCTCAGTTTCTTCATTTGTAAAATGAGGATAATTTTGCCCTCTAGGTTTCTTGAGGAGTAGGTGCTTATAGCATTTTCTCTTCATATTTGTCAGGAGTGGACAGGGTCCAAGTAGAAAATGTGGGGCAGGGATCTGGTCAGGGTTCTGTATGTATTGTCTAGAGAAACGGGTAAATTTTTATTCCTGGCTGGAAGGAAGAGCTCAGTAAACTTTCTGATAACCTCTGAATTTGGAAACGCATGCTCAGGTTGAAGGGTTGAATCAGCCTGACTGCTTATTACCCTGGGACTTAACCTCTCTGAGCCTCAGCTTTGCCATCTGTAAAATGGGGGAGATTCACCACCCTCCCCTACAAGGTTGTGCGGGGAGCCAGTGGCAGATGCCTAGAACAGGGACTGACATGCAGTGAGTGCTCTATAGACGTCCTGGGCAGGGGCAGTAGTGGGGACAGCTGGGGGAGGCAGGCTTCCAGGAGCCACAGGCCTGCCCCCTCTCCTCCCCAGTGCTGGTGCTCCCCTGAGTGCTGACCATGCCCCCTCTGTAGGCCTGAAGCTGGGCATGGAGCGGGACGCCTACGTCATGATTGCGGAGAAGGGGGAGAAGCTTTACCACATGATGATGAACAAGAAGGTGAACCTGATCAAGGATCGCCGGAGAAAGCTGAGCACCGTCCCCAAGTGCTTCCTCGGCAAGTGAGTGGCCCCACCCAGGCCTCCGTGGGGTCCCTGGGCTGATTCCAGGCAGCCCTTCCCCAGAAGCCCTGCTGGGCAGAGCCACTAAAGCCCCCCCGAATCCTTGAGTAACAGACCTCGGAGGTCCAGGAGGATAGTGGAGTCCCCATATCAGGTCTTTCGAATGATTCCTACCACAACTCACTGCAAAACATGAATTTTATGTCGTGACCTGGAGCATACACCCATGTGATATATGACTGAAGCCTGTTTCACAAAACTTACCGCGCCCGATGCACTCTGAAATACCGGTTCTGTTTCCTTTTCTGTTCTGTGTCTTTTCTATTCCATTCTGTCCTGTCCTTGGTATGCTGTTCATTTTTTCATTTGTTCTCATGCTAAGGAAGACCCCTGCAATCGATTTCACAAACTACCAATGGTTTGCCTGCCATGGATTGAAAAACACTGCCCTCACACTCGGCAGGAGAATCTACCATAGATCTTTCAAGGGAAGGGGCATTTAACACCAGGAGTTGATTTCAAAGTTGCCGGAGGAGCGCACGTGGGCCCTTGCATCAGTCTGCACAGGCTGGCGTCTCCGTGGACCGCAGACCAACAGGCTGAAACAGAAGCTTACTTGTCACAGTCCTGGGGGCTGGCAGTCTGAGATCAGGGTGTGGGCAGGGCCTGTGTCTCATGAGGACTCCCTTCCTGAGTTACACATGAGGGGGAAGGGGAGGCTCCTGGGAGCTTCCAGTATTTGAGAGCCTCCAGTCTCTTCCTCCATTCTTTCCCAATAATGAAACGTTTTACAACGCCTGCCCCCAATTTATACCGCAGGATCAAAGGGGTCAGGGCACAGGTGTATCTTAAACCCAGAGTTACATCTCATTCACCTGGTGGGGGCGGCTGGGGATGGAGAGGGGCAGTAGAAATACACAGTCCCTGTAAAACCGCTGTGTGCCAGCCCTGCTGTGCCCTCCACGTGGGACACCGGAGAGGGTACAGAGCACTGAGGGTGCTGAACTCACAAAGCTTGTGGCCCAGCAGCGGAGGGAAGTTAGCCTTTGAGGCAGGGACTTTATTTAGAATTTATTGACTTACAGCTCACCCAAAGGCTTTTGGGGAGGCCTTGGATAAAAGCGACTGTATTATTATATTGCCGTGGACCAGGGGAAAGGTGATTTGGACTAAGGGAGTCACACAGTAAAGACGGGGGAAGTGGTTGCATTCTGGGTCACTTTGAGGGTGACAGCGTTTGCTGGTCGGATGAGAAAGAAGAGAGTTGAGGATTGTGAGGCCTTGGAAGGTTGGAGTTGCCGCTTGCTGAAAAGAGGAAGGAGGTGGACAGAGGAGCAGGTTTTGGGGGGGGTGGACGGGAGTGGAGCTCAGAGGGTCCTTTTGGACAGGTTACCTTGAGATTCCTAGACACCCGGGTGGAGATGTTGGCTTGTTAGTCGGATATAGATCTTGACTTGGGGAGAGAAGACTGGGTTGGAGAAGTAAATGCAGCCGGTGTGGGCGTTTCGATAGTTTTTCAAGCCGTGGGACTGAAATCTGCGAGGGGTCATGCAGGGAGAGACGGCTGGGGCCGTGGGGCCGCCAGCTGGCAGGGGACCTGAAGAGGGAGTGGGCAGAGAGGTGGGAGGCCCTCGGGGCAAGGGTGCCGCCCTAGAAGCCGGTGGAAAAGATGCAGAGACAGGGCGCAGTGGCAGCCAGGTTTGGACGCGTTAAGGTCGAAAGGCCCAGTAGACGTTCAAGTACCGATGCTCGTCAGGCCTTTGGAGACCAATGTGGAGCTGGGGCGGAGCACATCTGTCATGGCCTGAGGCTTGTGTTTGAAGGGGTGGCAGGCAGGAGATTTGGGGGGTGGTTGGGCTCCGGAGGGGTAGCTGGGGGATGTCCTGGACTGGAGCTGCCCTGTTGCAGCAACCCCAGGGTTGGGAGGGTGTGTGGAGAGGAGCGTGTGGGCCCCAGCCGTGCAAGAAGCAGGGAAGGGGCGTCCCGGCGCCCTTTTGTCAGCTAGTGTTTAATCCCTGGGCAGAAAGGAGGTTCTTCTCTCTGGTGGGGGGGGGGGGCTGCTTCTGGCCCTCCCTGGGTCAGAGGACCTCTCCGCCTCCTGCCAAACCCCTTGGGGAGCTTAGTCCAGCCGGATGGGATAACCTGCCTGTGATTAGAGCTTCAGCGGACTGTTCTGTCTCCTCAGGAAGGATTAGGGGAGATTTCTTTTACCGCCCATTTGAAACAGGGCCAGGATTGAGGCTTGTTCTATAATCACCGGGGCCTTAAGGACCAGACTTCCTGCAGAAGACTTTTCTAATGAAACTCTTCTCCCCGCAGAGCTTTGCTCTGTGCCCAGCGCCAGGGCTCGTGACCTTCCTCCTTTCCCACCAGGGCTCAGCTCCCAAGTCTTCTTCTGCAGGAGCGTCCTGGGTCCCCTCGGGTGGAAGGAACCTATAGCCACAGAGACATAATTATCAAATGTTTCTCTGCTCCATGCACTGGCACGTAGCTGTGCCTTTTAACCCGCATACAACACTATGAGGCAGAACACTACCATTATCCCCATTTTAAGGGTAAGAGAATTGAGGCACAGAGAGGGAAGAGGTCCTGCACAAGTTGGGGGCTGGGATTTGAACCCAGGACTCTCTCCCACCACGTTCTGCTGCACGTATCCATTTTTACCTCTGGTCAGCACATTTCATTTTTCCTTGTAGCTACTTTCTCCATATCCACCTGTACTACTTAGATGGGGAATCCACGAATACAAAAAGGGTCCGATTTATCTTTATAACCTCTGAGGGTTGGGCTTTGAGTCAGACTTGGACTTAAGCCCTGGTTCCCCCACCTTCTAGCTTTGTGACTTTGGGCAAGTCTCTTAACCTCTCTGAGCTTCAGTCGATGATTCGTTGATGAGAAATAATAAAATATGCCTCATAGCATCGTCAGAGGCTGCAGTGAGAAAATGCAATGTGGCGTCTCATAATTGTGCTGCTAAGGGTATTGGAGTGGCCTGTTTCTGCCCTGGAAGAGACAAAACTCATGATGAAAATCAAGGAAGAAACTCTGTATATTTGTGTGGAGGCATCATGGGAGGAACATGATTTGCCCTCTAGGAGCCTCAGGTCAGTTGGGCCGACTGAATCGGTTCATTCATTCATTCCTGCCATTTGTTCAGTGTTTACTGAGCCCTTACTATGTGCCAACAGTGAACAGGACAGACAGACCCCTGCCTTCGTGGAAATGACTGTCCAGTGGGGAGATCAGAAAATAGACAAGTAGACGAACACCAGTAAAGAAGGGATCTCAGCGAGTTGATGGATTTTTTTAATTTAAAAGTTTATTTGGAGAGAGTGATTGAGAGCGAGCACGTGTGTGAGTCGGGGAGGGATAGAGAGAGAGAATCCCAAGCAGGCTCCACGCTGTCAGTGCAGAGCCCAGCTCGGGGCTCGATCCCACAAACCCTGAGATCATGACCTGAGCTGAAATCAAGAGTTGGACGCTCAACCGACTGAGGCACACAGGTGCCCCTAGTTGATGGGTACTGTAAGAAATCAGTAGGCTGATGTAAGGAGGTGAGGAAATGGGGTACTCTTTCAGCCAGGGTGGTCAGGAAAAGCCTCTCAGGGGAGTAGACATTTTAACCAAGCTCTAGATGTCAAGCAAGAGCCAGTCATGAGGCGATCTCAGGGAACAGCATTCTTGGCGGAGGGAGCAGCAGGTGCAGATGCCCCAAGGCTGGAGTGAGCCTTGGGTAATTGAGGATCCGCCAGGCCAGTGTGGCTAGAGGCAGTGGGTGGCCGAGGAGCGGGAGATGAGGCCGCAGGGGTTGGCAGGGGCCGTATTAGGCAGGTAAGGGGGGATGGGGGCTCAGGGTTTGTTCTAGGTGCTCTGGGAAGCCATTTTCAAAGAGCCTAAGCAGAAGAGTGGGATGAAGAATGAGCTCATCACACAGGCTCTGGATGAGGGCACTGTCAGAGCTCTAAGAGCTCCGGGGACAAGAATAATGGTGTATCTGGTAGAGGCAGTCAGGGAAGGCTTCCTGCAAGAAGAAGAATGCCTTTGGTTTCCCTCTTGTCAGAGGTTAGGTATCATTCATTGATGTCTGCTGGAATAGAAGCTCTGAGGTGGAAGAGGCCTCATTGTCTCGCCTAACCTGGATGCACAGGTGCAGGGTAGCTGTGGGTAACAGACATGGCTGTAGGAAGCTCCTTCAGGCAGTGGAGTCACAGGGCTGAATATAACCCCCTTCCCCACCCCGCCAGTCCCTGCCCTCATGGAGGAGACCGGAGAGAACAAGGGGATTGCTGTACTGGGCGGTGAGTGGTGCTTGGAGCCTCAGCCAGGGGACTGTCCCGGGGAGACGGCAGAGACACAACTGTGGATCCCTGCGCCTCGCATTGGGCTTGATGCGTGGTGTTGATTCTGGGGGTCAGGAAGGAGCGGTGAAGCTGGGTGCACGCTAACACAGCTACTGCCCATCGCCTGGGTCCCGGACTCCCCGCCAGCCTAGGCTGACCTGCTTTCTGTGTCCCCAACTCAGTGCCCCGAGTAACATCTGCCTGAAACGCTGGAACTTGCCACTCTTTGTACCCAACTTCCAGCAACTGGCAGATCGCTGGTTTCCTGACCTTACTTCTCACTCAGGGCTTTTCTCTATGCTGATCCCCTCCCTGCCTAGAACACCTTTCCTTGCACCTCACTGGAGGCAGGTGGCTCCCCACTGACCCAGCGCAGTCCGTGCGTGTGTTTTACATGGGCCACATGGTGCTTTCAGGAAATTTTGGATTATAAATCAACATTTAACAGTTGGGAGATTTCACAGGAAATGCCGCATTTCCGGCTTCTTTTGGAAAAGTAAGATACTCTAGTCTTCCCATGTGGCCACGGTCAGCTGCACTGAGGGACGGCTGGTTTAGCGTTGCCGCACCCTGGCCCCTTCTGTTCATTTCCAAGAGCTTGAGGTTCCTGTGCTAGAGAGGAGTTTTATGTGGTTGTGCACACTGGGTCCCAGCTTGACGTTTCATATGATGTGACAGTTGACCTGTTGAATCCAGAAGGGCCCCGAGTGACCCACTTGCCCTAGAGGCCCTGATAGACCCTGCTGAGGCCCACAGAGGAACAGTGGCTCGCCCAAATTGGCCCAGCAAGCTGTGAACCTTCCCTGATGCTCTAAAAGGGGTAAGACTCCGCGTGGGGCGGAAACGTGGGTCACGGTTGTTCTTCTCTGGGCCGCCTTCCTCCGCCCTAGCAGAAGACACTGGGCCACTTCCTGTCCCCCGTCTGGCCGCAGGGCTGCCGGTCGGTGCCAGAGGCGGCCCCCGATGGGACAGCTGGTAGGCAGCCGGGTGCCGAGTCCCCAGCTTCCGAGAGTGGGCACTCAACATCTGCTCGCCTCCCTCAGCTGCTGGCAGCTTTCTCCCTGTCGCTGATTTTTGGGGCCTTGAGAGCGGAACTGGGGGTGGAGAGCCCAGAACAGTCTCTTCCCCACCTGGGGCTCCCGCCCCACAGAATAGGTCCATTTCTTCTGTGCTCCCCCACCTTGGCCTGCACCCGGGGCTCTCTGAATGCCTCAGCACTCACCACTGCCTACACACAGGCAGGCTTCGCTCAGCCGAACACCGGGAGGCTAAAAATAGTCCTGCCCCCTCTGGCCCTGTAATTGGAGGCGGGACAGCTGGTTTCGATAAGCAGGAGATCGCTGCGCTCTGGCCAGCTGCCACCTGCTCTCACTGAACACAGATTGCCTCAGTGGAAACGGCCCTGTGGCCGGCTCTCCCTTTTCCTGCTGACTCTGGTGGGCTGAGCTCTGCACTGAGCCTGAGCACACCCCCGAGAGCCAGGCCCTGGGGTCCGGCTGAGCCTCTGCCCCACCGGGCAGGCACATTGGATCTGCTTGATTTCCTCTGGCTTGTGAGCACTTCTCTCCCCGAGACCTTCCTGCCGATCCCAGGACGTTCCTTCTTGTTTGATGGTTCATTCCTTCGTTTGTTCAGGAAATGATTATTGGGCTCTACTGTGCTATAGACCCTCCTCTAGGTCTGGGGGTAGGGCTGTGAATAAGACCGACAAAAATCCCTGACAATGTGGGGATTACCTTCTGGTGGGGGAGACGGCCGGAGACACGTGTATGTAAATCTGTAACAGTACGACTCCAGACAAGGATAAGTGCTAAAGACGAAGCAAAACTGAGAGCCGTGAGGCTTGTGTGAGGAACTGCTTGTGGTGAGAAGGAAGGACTTAACACGAAGAGCTGGGGGAGGGCATTTCCAGGCAGAGGGAACAGTAAGTGCAAAGGCCCCGAGGTAGGCAGGAGTCTGATCTAAGAAGCAGAAGATGGTGGGTGTGGCTGAAACATGAGTGAAAGGTATAGGAGAGGAGACCAGGAGGACGAGCGGTTCACGTGGGGCCCTGTCATCGTGCAGGCAGAGTTTGGATCTTTTTCTGAGAGCAATGGGGAAGCCCACTGGAGGGTTTGACCAGGAGAATGACATGATCTGATCGCCATGAGCTCTCTTGGCTCTCCACAGTCGTCTTTCTGGGCTCTTATTTCTTCCTCTTTGTTTCTTCATTCCTTCTGCTTATCTGTCCGTGTTGACATCCATCATCCATTCCCTCACCCGTCTGCCTGGTTCTGTCTCCACTTAGCATCTGTCCATTCCCTCATGCTCCCCACTACCTACCTGCCCACTGGTGTTTCCAGCTACCTGCTGATTGGTCTGTCAGATCATCCATTCATCTGCTCACTTTCCATCATTTACCTCCCCACTTTTGTGTCCATCCGTCCATCTACCCACCCATTCTCCCTCCCTCCTTCCCATCCATCCATCCATCCACCCACCCACTCATTCTCTCTCCCTCCTTCCCATCCATCTGTTCATCCATCCATCCATCCATCCATCCACTCGCCCACCCACCTATTCTCCCTCCCTCCTTCCCACCCATCCATCCACCCATCTATCTTCCTTCCTCCCTCCTATCCGTCTATCCATCCATCCATCCATCCACCTTCTTCCTTCCCTTTTGTCCATCCGTCCATCCATCTATCCATCCACCCACCCACCCATCCCTCTTTCCTCCCTCCCTCCTGCCCATCCATTCATCCATCCTTCCCCCCACTCACCCAGTGCACCCGAGTCAGGGCCTGGGGTCTGGTCACACCCACCACTCTGCCATTGGTCCTTGGGAGAAGCACAAGGCCTCAGCACAACCCCCGGAGCTGTAGGCTCCCGGGCTTTGCTTTCCTGTGGGACGTTCTGGCTGTCATTCCTGGGAGTGGGTGGGGCCAGGCCTGTTCAGCGCTGGTTCCCGGGTTCCCAAGACTAGGGAAGTTCTCTCAACTGCTTCTTATATTCCCGGCAGTGAGTTTGTGGCCTGGCTCCTGGAAATTGGTGAAATCAGCAAGACGGAAGAAGGAGTCAACTTGGGCCAGGCCCTGTTGGAGAATGGTATAATCCACCATGGTGAGTGGGGGCTGGGGCCTGGCGGGCCCAGGGGTGGGCATAGGTCAGTGCTGTGCTTCCCCTAACTCAGCGGCTACTGCTACACTTCTGTGCAATCGCCCTGTTTCCTGGGCGCATTGTAGCCTCAGAACATAGATGTCCTTACAGATCTGCCCACGGGGCAGGAAGCCTTGCACTTACCTAGGACACCAGCAAAGCAGAGACACTTTGAAAAATTAAGGGCGGGGGAGAATTGTCTGTTTGTCCCTTCAAAACAGGCAAGAGCCGTTTATGCTTTAGTCATTCAGCAAGTATTTATTGAGTGCCTGTCACATGCCAGGCACTGTCCACATAGCAGCGAACAGGACAGATGAAAACTCTCGTCTCCATGGGCTGGCATTCTAGTCAGAGGGGGAAGTGTGCGTGTACAGACGGCGATCAGTGCCGGGTCGGGGGAGAGAGGTAAGGGGGTGGTGTTCCGTTCTCAATAGGGGTTTGGAAGGTCTCTCCGTGAAGGTGCCCTGGGAGAGCGCAGGGCCGGGTGGCGTCAGGGTTCTAGGCCGGGGGAGCAGCCAGTGCTGAGTCCCGGGCAGAACAAGCAGTGTGTGCAGGGAGCTGCAAGGTGGCCAGGACTGCCACGGAGTGGCATGGACAGCGTTAGGAGATGTGGTTGGCGGGCATGACTGGGGGTGGGGTTTAGGGGGTGGGGCCCAGGACCCCATGAGGCTTTGGCTTTTCCTCGGAGCGAGGCGGGGAGCTGCTGAGTTCTGAGCGGAGCAGGACCCTCCTGTCCGCTGTGTGCCTGGAATGGCGGCAGGGTGCCCAGCGAGGGGCCGTGATGCTCAGACGGGAGATGACAGTGGCTTGGACCAGGGTGGAGTGAGGAGTCAGACTGTTCATGCTTTGAAGGAAGAGCCCCCAAGAGTGGGGAATGACAGAAGCATCAAGGGTGACCTGAGGCCATTGCATAGGCCTGACTGTGGTCTCGCACCCCGGCACCCTCTGTCCCAATGCCTGCTTTGGCGACCTACACCCAGGAGGTGCTGGGCCAGATGGTCCCAACACAGGCTGGATCTAGGGCATTTCGGGACCTCTCAGGAGACCCGCGGCTGCCCTGGCCCTGGGCAGCAGGGTCGGCCAGCAGGGCCCCAAACGGAGCAAGGGAACCTGGTTTTCACGGAAGAGTGAGGGCAGGGCAGTGAAATTGACGTGGCACAGAGCCTTGCCGAGTGAGGGTGGCGGTGGCGTTGGGCGATGAGGGTGGGCCCTGGGTCCGACCTCACTGACCCTTTGGGTCCCTCCAGTCTCTGACAAGCACCAGTTCAAGAACGAGCAGGTGATGTACCGCTTCCGCTATGATGACGGCACCTACAAGGCCCGGAGTGAACTGGAGGACATCATGTCCAAGGTAGGGACTCTGCCCCACCCCATGACCCCGACCCCACGGTCACTGCCGAGCAGGCGTGGGCCCCAGTGGCCTGTGCTTTCCCCCCTCCCCCACCTGCCTGCTCTGTCCTGGGAGCCATCTCTCCGAGTAGCCTGGGTTTGGAGGCCCCTGCGGGATGTGGCCTGATCCCAGACTCCACCCCCCCCTTTTCTCTTTCAGGGTGTGAGGCTTTACTGCCGCCTTCACAGCCTCTACGCCCCCGTGATCAAGTAAGTTACTCTCTCCAAACCCCAGTGGCACGTCTGCCTCTTCTCAGCTCCGTGCCCTTGGGCTGGTAACTTAACCTCTCTGAGCGTCAGTCTCCTTCTCCATCAAATGGGGCTAATAATTGCATCTACCCTATACATTCGTCCTTAGGGTTAAGTGAGTCAATCTGTGGGAGACGCTGCAGGGTGGTGGTGAAGGGTGTCAGTTCTGGAGTGAGTTTGAATCTCAGCTGCTAGTTTTCAGTTGTGTGACTTTGGGCGGAGGTCCTTAACCTTTCGGTGCCTCAACTTTCTCCTCTGTGGAATGGGGATAATAGATTCACCTCAACCTTTGCACTTGCTGTTCCCTCTGCCTGGAATGCTGTTCCCTTACCTATTTGCATATTGACTCCCTCACTTCCTTCAAAGGTGTCCAAATTGGAGGGGCCTTCCCTGCCCACCTTTTTAAAGCATCTCTGGCATGCACTGTCCTCCTGACTTCACGTTGGTTTTCTTCTTGAAACTCGTTAGTAGTTGACGTATTATGTTATTTATTTTATCAGTTTGCTTTCTTCCCCACTGGATTGTAAATTCACCAAGGGCAGGGAGTTTGCTCACTGCTGTGTCCCCAGACCCTTGACCAGCGCCTAGAGTGGTGCTGTCCTATAGCCCTTTCCACAAAGATAGCCGTGCTCTAGGTCTGCGCTGTCCAATACTGTGGCCGTGAGTCCCATGTGGCTTTCAAACCCTTTAGGTGGAGGAATATAATTTTAAGTTTGATTTAATATGCATCGGTTGACAAGTGGCTGCATATTGGAGAGTGCAGGTCAGGGGCAAAGTAACACTCTGTAAATGTGCGTCAAATGAATATTGAAAGGTAATTAACCTCTTTGGCCTCTGATTTTGTCCTCTGTGAAATGGGCATAAGAGCGGCTCACACCCCTTGAGTTGCTACAGGGATTAAACTTGAATGGCGGCTGCACATAGTGAGGGCCGTATAAGTGCCAGCGATTGGTTATTTTCCTTATTGTGAGGCTTATGGTTATGGATGAAGGGACAGAGAGGGTAACCTAGCTCTTCCCCAGCTGCAGATTCCTCTGCCCCCTGTCCTGACGGCTCTTGTCTACTCTTAGAGGAGCAGAGAAGATCCAGCATTTGCTGGCCTCTTTGGGGGTCAGGCCCTGGGAACCGCTTGCCTCTGTAGACCTGCCCCTGCCTCCTTGGCCCAGCCTCGGCCAGCACAAGCCCCCCCTCCGTCCATCAGCCCCCAGAGGAGGAAGTGGCGGGGCCAGCATTTACTGTGCGTGTGGCCTGCTGGGCTCCCCAGTTCCTAAAAGTCCGAGAGAAACTCCCCAGCCAGACTCTTACCAGCCTCAGCATGGCTGGCCACATGAGCTCCGGTCTGCCGGCTTTGAAGTCAGAAATCACTGGTCTGACTGCAAGGTTAGCACAGCCCTTGGTTCCAGGACTCGGCAGGAATTTGGATGCCACACAGGTCAGAGCATTTGCTTTGGGAGAGAACCGGGCAGCCTGATGCCCACCTCTGTGCCTGCCGCCCTCCCCCCATCTGCTCACATGCCCTTCCTCCCCCCACAGAGACCGCGATTACCACCTGAAGACGTACAAGTCAGTACTGCCGGGGAGCAAGCTGGTCGACTGGCTGCTGGCTCAGGTGAGAGGCCCCCCGGCCTGTGCGAGCAGCCTTCTCGCTGTGCCCGGGACTGGGGGGCTGACTGGGATACGGGCCTCTCAGGTTTTGGGGCTTTTTTTTTTTTTTTTAAACAAATTTCCAATATTTTTCACTCTTGGTAAAAATCCACGTAACACTTACGATCTTAACCGTGTTTCGGTGCACGACGCGTGACGTCAAGTCCACTGACCTCGCTGCACCGTCACCCCCTCCCCCTCCTGAGCTCTTTTCATCCTGAAGAACTGAAACTCTGTCCCCCGGTAAACAGCAGCGCCCCACTCCCCGCAGCCCCCGGCAGGCACACTTCTGCTTTCTCTGGGAGGTGGCACCTCGTGCCCTGTGTGGTTGGCATCACACAGCCTTCGACCTCCCGCCGCTGACGTATCGCACTGTGCGTAACGCCCTCGGGCTCGCCACCTCGGCATCCCCTTCCTTTGCAAGGGCCGAACAATATTCCATTCTGCTGTCCGGGACCGTCCCGGGTGAGCTGGGGCAGGCTGGTCTCCTGCTGAAGCACCAAATCGGAGCCTCCATGTGGAACCTGCCGAGTTGCTCCTTTGACACAAGTTCCCAGGGGGGCGAGGGCTGGGCAGAGGCTTGGAGAATCCACACAGCAGCGTCACTCAACTTCCCAGAGGTGTTGGCCCCACCGAGCTGCCACAGACACTTCCTTCTGCCCGCCTCCTGTCCCTTCTGGCTCCTGCAGGGACAGGGGTGCTCCCTCTGGGCCAGGCCCTGGCCGGGCTGTGTGCACTTTCCTCTTGGGTCTTCCAGCCCATGTACAGACGGGGGAACTAGGCCCCAGGGAGGCCAAGCACTTGGTTCAAGGTCGCGGCAGAGCTGGGACTGGGATGCGCCTGCCTGACCCGCTTGTCGGACCTCGGTCCTGCGAACTTTTCAGGGAGCTCGCGGGAATGTTCACTTGGGATCTGTGGAGACAGAACGCGTTGGCTCCAAAGACGAGGAGACAAGTGTGAAATCAAAACGGATAAATGTTTAAACGCGTACAGAGCGCAGCTCTCTGTCAGCCTCCCTAATTGTTAAATTTAGCATTCGGAAAAACCTCATTGCATTTGGAAATAATGTGCTGGCGGGATTTTCTCATGTCACACAATCCCTCATGATTGCCTGGAGATCGTAGCCAGTCTGTAAAGTAAATGTTTCTTGGCCCCAAATAACCTCAAAAGAGAGTTTAGGAAAAATCCTTGAAAAAATGTTTTCAGGCCAGAACGGCATATTTAATATAGGAGGTGCGTTTTAATATGTTCGCCATGCTGTGGGACTCTAAGACCCGGGAGGTCGTGAAACAGCCCTGGATCTGAATTCGGTTTTGCACATCTGGAGAGGGCAGAGCACCACACCCTTGTGTCACACTCCCCTCCCTCGGGACCCCGCGAAACCAGCACGTGCTTCGGTTAGAGCCAGACGGACCTGGGGAAGATGCCAGCTCGGCGTCTGCCTCGCCGAGTGATCTTGGACGAGGCTCTTCGCCTCTCTGTGCCTCAGTCTCCACACCTGTAAAGTGAGGCAAAAAACAGTACCTTCCGCATCAGATAATTTTGAGGATTCAGTGAGTTAATCATGTCAAGCGCTTAGAATGGCCCCTGGCCCAGAGTTAACTGCTCAGTAAATGTGACTCTTACTATCACTGCTCGTCTCCTGCACGGGGGATTCAAGGAGGCTCCAAATTACATGCGGTGTGGAAGGCTGAGGAAATTGCGGAGGGATTTGGGGGCGCAGGAACGATAAGATCAGGAAACAGCCAGCGAGGAGGGGAGGGGGATGGGCAGGTCCGTGGGGCCCCCACCAGGGCGGTTTCTTCTGTGGTTTAGGCCCTTTGCTTGCAGACCCGCCTGGGTTCGGGTTCTCTGAAACAGCCGCTTCTCACCGCCTTGGCCGTTTCTGGGCCCTCCTGTTTCCCGAGCTCCACGGGGGGCCCACGGCTGAGTATTGGTTTCCAAGCATGATGTGGACTTTGCCCTGAGCGGCGGAGCCCAGGCCCGGGTTGGGAGGGAGGTGGGGCACCGAGATGGTGACAGGTCAGCGGGTCTGAGAAATGTTTGGAGATGGGGCGCACAGGACGCACTGATGAGGGGTAGGATGAGAAGCAGGGATGCGTCCTGGGGCTCCGGTGCGTCGGTGGCTGGAAGCACCATGTGCAGTGATGAGAATCAGGCAGAGGAACCCCTGCGTGCCTGGGGAAACGGAGCGTTCTCTGGAGCGGGAAGGCGCCGCCTTTGGGGTGCCCACAGGACTTCCCAGCGGGGGCAGGTGGATGAAGGGGCCGAACTGGCATGCCAGGCGCTCAGCTGGCCTCTGCACTGCAGTTACTCTGTTCCTTGTCCGCTTTGGCAGGATTTAAAATGAGAAGTCAGGAGAGGGTGTAGAGAAACTCAACGAGAGTGCTCATTAGTTCGTCTCTTTTCTCTTTTGAGCACCTACTGGGTACCAGGCACCGGTTTGGGTTCTGGGGACACAGCAGCGATAGACAAAAGTCGCTGGCCTCATGGGTCTCAAATTCTGGTGAGGGCTAGGGCAGACACTTGATCAATAAAACGAGAATGAAATACGTCTGTGTTAGCTGGGGGCTGGGGGGTAGAGTGTGTGGGGGCCGTGGTGGGGGGCATTTACCCTTCACAGGGGTGGGGGCAGTACAGTTTTCATGGTGGACCTAGAAGGCTGTGTTGAGTAGGGACACTTGAACAGAGACCTGAGGGGGGTGGGGAACAAGCCAGGGGGACGCCTGGGGGTGGAGCCTTCTGGGGGGACAGCAGCTTGGAGGCTCCAAGCGGGGTGAGCTTGGTGTGTCTGAGGGCGGTGGGGGGTGTGAACGGAAGGCACGGGGGGTGCTGGGGAGGGCTCTGGGAGGGTTCCCACCACTTCGGGCTCTGAGCACAGAAGGGATAGCACTGACTTTGGCGAGGGTAAGATCCCTCTGTGGAGCATGGGCCGTGAGGGGGCTGAGGCCGGCAGAGAGGGCTGGGGAGAAGGTGGCTTCAGGACTCCAGGCGGGGGACAAGGTGGCTGAGAGCTGGGTGGCCGCGAGGAAGGTGGGAGACATCAGATTCTAGAGTTTTTGGAAGTAGACCTAACAGAGTTTGCCAATGGGTGGATGGGGTGTGGGAGGCGAGAGACAGGAGTCTCCCAGACCCCCAGGTCCTAGGCCAAGCGGGGGAGGCTCAGGACGGCATCCCAGAGCGCTCTGGCCTGGAGAAGGACCAGCTTGGCATCAGGCACGGGGAGGTTGTGCTCACGGCCAGTGCTGTCAGAGAGGCCGTGGTCCTGGCCCAAGGTGCCCTGGAGTAGCCTGAGTCATTGCTAGTTGGTCCTGGGGACCTTCCCGCCCCCGCCCCCCAACCAGCGTCTTGTTGGACGTGGAGGCAGGAGAGGGATGGAGGAATGAGGGTCTCAGTTGACCGTAAACGTGTCTGTCTACTTCAGCAGACCTCCCGTGGCTCGGCCTGGTCTGGGGACACAGAGCTGACGCAGGAGGCCAACTGAAAGGCAGCGGGCATGTGGCCCTGGGAAAGGGGCAGGAGGGCATGTGTGTGGGTGGCCGTGGGGGAGAGGTTGGTGATAAGGATGTGACCTTGAGGACTAGTTACCGCGAGCCTTGATTTCAAGACTTATTCCTACCTTGTACCTTTGCAGGAAATTCAAGGAGGAAACCCGTAATTGTGTAGCTCAGGAGGGTAATTTTGCTTTGAACACATCTTCATTTCGAACTTTTAGGTCATTCTGCTCCTTGAAACGAAATGTTCATGGCAACCCATTGGATCAGCCAGAAATGCTTTTGCTGCATATAATAGGAACTCTGATGTAGACAGTAAACACCTTTTCCTCTCACAGAATGAGGCGTCCCGGGTTCATGGTCCTAGAGCTCGAAATGCCATTTGCACTCAGGCTCCTCCTGTCTTTCTGTTTTCCTGTCTTCTTGCCAGTTGCCCCCTAATCCTACGATGGCTGCCACAGCTCCAGGCATCACATCTGTGTAGACCTGCAGCCAAAGGCAGGCGGCAGGAGCAGTTGGGGAGAGGGTTCTCACTCTGTTTGAGGACACTTCCCCCAGTCCCCATCTCTCCCCAGTCGTCTTCCTCTTAGGTCTCTTTGGCCAGATGGGACCTATGTGTACCCCTAAACCATTCCCTGGGGAAGAGGACAGGGATTGGTGAGAGTGGCTTAGAATTCCTCAGAATTCATTCTTTGGGGCTGGGAGAGGGGCCCCCCAGCCACTGCTGGGACAAGTCAGTTCTTTGAAGTCTGAAGGTAAGGGGGTTATTAGCCCTTCAGTAGACAAGCTGGGCCCTGTGTCCGTTCCAATCATCTCTGGGCATTATCTCATTTAATCCTCAGAACAGCCTGAGAAAACAGTTACTATTCCCATTTTACTGATGAGGAAACTGAGGCTTAAGCTATGTAACTTGCCTCAGGACACACAGAAGTGTATCACTCTTATAGAATTGTGTGTGTGTAGGGGGGGCTGTTATGATGCCCTGATACTAAATAATAGGTAATAATGAAAATAATGGTAGGAATAGGCTTCTGTATTGATTATAGTGTATACTGGGCAGTCTGTGCAGGGAGCACCGCCCAGGGGTGGCAGAGGCCTTGGAAAACCGAGGGCAAATCTGAGAATTAAAAAATGCCAGTGACGAAGTGAAGCTTCCCATGGTCACGGCCAGGGCCACGTAGGGAGGTAAACCTGGGAAAGCAGGTCCAGATCTTGTATTCTGCACCTCTCTGCTGCATGGTTTTCGGTCTCTGCAGCCTGGGCTCGAGGATGCCCCGGGCTGCGGCCGTCAGGTGGAGGGAAGGGGGTCAGTGGGCTAGGGCAGAAGGGCCAGGAGCCAGGTGCAGGAGGGCAGCACCTGAGGGTGGCTTGGCAGAAATGTTCCATGGAGCGCCCGCCACACTCACCCCCACAGTCAGGCAGATGGTGAGTGCTGATGGTGTAGGGTTTTCAGCAGGGAGGGGAAAGGGGCCAGGCCGGTGGCTCGCGGTACCGGCAGAGGGGCAAAAAAGCATAGACGGGGACGTGACAGGAGCCCCTGGCCACAACCCTGGGCAACTACTAACTTGTCCTCTTAGAGCCTCAGTTTTCTTATCTGTAACGTGACGGCGGGGGGAGGGTCCAGCTCTGAGAAGATTTCTTTCTCATGGTGTAACCTAGGGCAAGTACAAGCCCGGCCGTGCCTCAATCTCTTCATCTGTTAAATGGGATTCATGACAAGAGTGATTGCCTCTGGGTTGACAGTCAAGATGGAGTGAGACCGTGCAGTGCCTGGCACGCTGTGGGTCAGTGAGAAGCATCCTCGGGCATTGTCATGGGGTTTCACGGTTCACGGGCAAGGAGCCTTCTGAAGCCCTGTGTAAGTTGCACCTAGCGTCCCTTCTCCCGGCCCTGCTCTGCCCCCTTCATCCCAGGTGGCTCTCCGATGGGAGATCACTGAGCAAGAATAGCTAACGTTTATCAGCTGCCCCCTGCATGCCAGGTATTGGGCCCTGAGTGTCACATGAAGCATCTCATTTAATTCTCATAAGAACTCTGTGGGGTGCGGACACTACCGTTTCCCCCCATTTTAGAGATAAAGAAACTTAGGCAGGTGGAGGGGAGTTCGGGATCAGTTTCCATGTCTTCCTTTCCTTCCTCTCCTCTCCT